GTATGCTAGGGTGAGGTTTTTGTTTGGAAGATGCTGGCTGGAGAGATGCTGCTGCCATTGCATCCAGGAGAGCTTGGGGAGGAGCAATTCCGGAGAATACCCTGACAGGCATACGCAAGGGAAGCACAATGAGTTGAGGCTGCGCTATAGTCAGCCAAAGACAGTTCGTCGGTGGGTAGTTAAACATACCTTCATCTCTCGAGCATTTCCATGGGTCAAGCCAACTCGAATCTCCAATTCGTAGCTCCTTTCAATGTTACATGTCTCAAATGATGGCGCTACCGAGTTAGGTAATGGGACACGATTCCACAGGTTTGAATCAATAGTCCAATCAGTCCCAACTGCATCTTCCGGCTGGCCTAGCGGTGTGTCCATATTGCTGCGACTCATGAGGACCCAAGAATTACTTTCGGTGCGAGTAAGATCATGAGCTAAAATCTTTGTATAAGAAATTAGCTCGATCTGCAACATCTGGAGGAAGATTGTGTCCGACGTCTCAGTCAGTTTTCTAGCCAAGAGACGGAGCGGAACAGGTTCGTTGCAAGTGAGAATAGATGGATGCGGGAGTCGAGCATCAACAGAGACACGGGGCGGTTCTGCATAGATCTCTTTGAGTGCAGATGGGCCCTTTGAGAAGATGCTCTTCTTCTTGGTGCCACTTTGAATTTTGGAGAATTGATGTTGTCGCCTGGCATAGGTTTCCTCGTTGGGGTTCCCAGTTCTTGGTGGTTCGATGGGTAGGAAATTTAGGGGAACGATCTGACAAATTAGCGAATGGAAGCAGCTAATCCAGCACCGCACTTACCGCTCTGATGTTCTCTTTGTAGAATTGCGGTCGAATGATTGTGGCCTTGACGTAGTACTTGATATCTGCCTCGCCAGGGAATCCGCTTAGGGAAGGAGGAAGTGTTTTCCTCACATGTCGGTTGGTATCTTTAGCCACCTCGACTTTCAACCCGGTGAAATTTAGATTGGTGAGCATGCTGTTGTGGCTGCTGCATGAATTATTAAACGGAAACTAGCCGACATTAGAGCTATTCACTGTTGCAGAATGAAGCTGGCTTACTTTGAACTGGAAGGGATACTCATATGACCCTGCTGCAAAGGTATATGAAGTTGTAGGAGAGCCATGCTGCATCACAGCCGGCGTGGGAAAGACGGTGGCCACTTTGTACAAGATCTGCGTCCCCGATCAGCCAATGCTCCACCAAGATTGTATTCCACGGGCAAACGATGACCAGAGCATCATACCTTGTGGACCTCCAGCTCCGTCCTCTTTTTATCCGAGTGCACATTTTGAGGGTTCCTGGGGCCGGAGAGGCGAGTGCGACTCTCACACTCCAATTTGACCTGTATTCCCCCAATAGCCGCCTCTGTCGGTAGCTGTAGCAAGACTTTGCCCGTCAAGAAGTCAAGATTCGTGTAATGGGTGTGGCGGCTGTCTAGCACGATCGTCGCGGACATGGCGGCGGAGCGCCCGGGCCCAGGCGGGGCACTATATTCGGTTGATGATGACCGTCGGAGGCTCAAATTTTGATCAGCGGTTGCCGAAGAAACACGCGACAAGGGTCAATTGTCGGGATGGTCGGGTGAGGTGAGGTTCGGCGCGGTGAGGTGGGATGTGAGATGGGGGGAATGCGGATTATATGCGAGGGACCCCGAAATGACGTTGTGAACGTTCGCAGATCAACTGATTGCCAAGAATAACAGTATGGGACTTTTTAGAACTTTGGCAGAAATGCATAAGAGTTGAAATCAGGGATCTAGGCTGCGCCTCAGGGTCACAGCCACAATTTACATACAAAGGACTAATTCCGCGCCCCAGAAAGTATAAGCTTGGCGGTTCAAGACTCGTTCCATATAGCTACATAGCATCACTACAACACGCATATCTACGACATAGCTATTTCAAAGAATCATATCTATTCATTCGAGCTGCTGAATCTATATCGCATACAACAATATGTTCATGGTTAATTTAGTACAAACAAGCAAGTGGTATCGTGAACTCGCTCCAGGCACCAAGATTTCCACTATCAAACGCATCCGAACACCCGATCCGCTGTAAATTCACGCCACAGCAGGGCTGAGAACAATCCAAATATATCCACAATTGCGACTAGACAGAAGGGCTCAAAGTCCCTCCTTGGCCAGCATGTCTAGGTAGCCAAGTTAATAGGCTTGTCTCGTCTAATCCACTCAGATGCAAACACATACCTGCAATGTCCAAGTAAAATGCAATAGCATTAAACCTGCAGAAAGATCAGCCTAGTTTCAAAAATAATGTTGCTGTCTACCGACTTTCGTCTGTTGCCTGTCACCTCCGCGGCCAGCCACTTCAGGCGGTTCGTCCAGTTGATTAGGTCCAGATGGCTCACGCCCATTAGAGTTCCCTTGTATCCTGATTCACCTCCCCAGCGGCTGCTGGAAACGCTGACTAGGCCATCGTTTGGTCCTTCTATGCTGGCGAGAACTCGATGGGACATCCGGAACGCGGACCAGATACTTGGTTCAAATGCTGCGCCATAGGAGAAATACCTGGAATTATAAGTAAATGTCATAGATGTAGATATCATCAAACTTACCTGACATCCTCTATATCTGGAACATTGGGGTTGAAGGTCTCGGTCATGTATTTTCTAGTCAGTTGTCCAAATGCGCCTGTTTCGACATTTAGTCGGTTGAGGGCGTAGTAGATTTGTGGTAGTCGTTCAGCTGTTCAGAAAGATGATTGTCAGTAGCTAATTAGCTGTATTGAGTGTGTTTTACAGACCTCCAGTCTGGTCAAATACATAGTCTGCCACGGATGAACCTAGCATAAAGGTCAGTATAAAGCTGTCTTGTTCCTGGGCATAATGCTAACCTCGATGTGGCGATGCAATAGTAGTAAGTGACAAGACTTTAAACTTCTCCGGTCGAATTCGACTGATCATGTATCGTGAATCAAGACCACTTTAACCTCGTCATTAGCTCATATCTCGGAGGGACTTTCGGTTTCAATCTCACCCCTATTCAATATAAGCATCACTCTGTTCACGCGAATGAGAGGTCTCACCATGCTATGTCTATAAGAGGACCGGTCAGTATATATCAATCAATATGCATAGATGAAGGGCTCAACATACGCAATAATATTAACATCTTTCCCACGCGCACCGAGTTCAATATCTCGGGCCAATTCTTCTGCTCGGGCTTCAATAGATCCTGATGGAGGTACCGTAGCAATGATAACTTCAATCCCTCGCGCTGTCAGTGCCTCTCTGATCCCGCGCCAGTATTGGACGCCGGGAAGGTATCGGCCAGCAAAACGCAATTCATCAAACCCGAGCAGGCCATGGGCGAGAACAACGGGGTATTTGGGGGCAGCTACCCTCGTTAACAGGCGTTTGGAGATTCATTGGGGGTTTACTTACCATATTTATCTCGGATCACTGAGTATTCATCGTATATCACTCTGCCATGGTCCTCTAGGCGCGGCTCAAGACTGGGTCTGGGTCTGTATGGGGATGCATGATACCATCTGTTGTTTGGGTATACATATGATGAATATGCTACCGATGGCCGCCTAAGTGCATTCGGTATTCGAACTGCATGTCTCATTGTCTTCACTCGTTTGTAGATAGGTTGGTGATCAAGCTCCCACGCAGAATGACGTACGGGAAACAAATATAGGTTGCCTCAGGCAGAACATTGTATACTCCGCAGTCCGACTACAACTACTTTACCTCTTTCTTTTGAAGTCGAAGGACTAAACTAATTAGCAATATATGGAGGGCGTTGGATGTAGTTAATCGCGACAGTTTTGAAGCTCAAAGACCAAATCAAACAGGGAGATATCAGGCCTAGCGTGCTTAATTTGGGACTGCACTGATACGTTATGGTGAACTACAAGAACATTTGTGACCCTTGACCAGGACTACGATCTATAACTTTGCAAGAAAGCAAAGTCATGGGAAGACAGATTGATTCACTGCCTACAGCGCTGAGGGAAACCAAATGAAATAATAGGGTCCGAAACTTGGATATCGATGAACAGCCACGCAAGCGCATCATCCCCCGCGACGAGTAAAGAAATAACAAAAATATCTACATTATGCCTTAATCTTCTCGGGCACCTTGGGCTTCACATCGGTTGTCACGCGGAGGAGGTCCGCCACGACCTTGTCGCCCTGCTTCTTGCCGGCGTCCTTAATCTCCTGGAGCTTGGCTTCGGTCTCCTTGTTGGCATCATCTTCGGCCTTCTTAAATCCGCTCGAGTGCTATAGATCCAAGTTAATATGGTATATGGCGACAGACTTAGAGGTATCTCTCACCTCAGTCTCGAACTTCTTGTACTCCTCTTCCTTCTGGCTCTTGTATTCCTCGATTTCCTTCTGGGCCTCTGCCTTGGCGTCCCTTATCCGCTTTGTGCGGTCTGTATTGTTGCAAGGTGGTTAGCTTGGTCGAGTGAGTGACCGGAAAGTTCAATAGCGTACATTCTCTGGCTGAAAGTGATGTGACGTATTAGTATCTGCCTGCAACAACGAGGGGTAAGCGGATAGCACTCACCTTGCTGCACAATCTTCTGGGCCTCTCTCTCAGCCTATCAGTAGTGTGGTTAGTATCTCCCCGCTCCGGCCAACATGCAACCAAGACCTACATCGAGGAGGGTCTGAATGCCCGCGGAGTTCTGAGCCGACTGCTCATCGTTAGTAACTGACCACCAATTCTTGACAGGCTACTCACCATAATTGCGCGAGACCTCTCAGCTTTGAAAGTAGGAAAGAGAAGAGATGGCGCTGAACAGGAACAATTAAACGGCGAGTCTGGAGCTCCGAGTCCAGGTCGATCGGAGCCACGCAGCGCCTCCCAAAGCGGTGGGGGTTCTGCCCCCATCTACCGCCTGGGCTGATCGATAAACTGATAATCCTCGACTCATATCCAAGACCTGTCAGTCCAGATTATTGTCAATTCATTGTTTGCTAGACCTCCGTGCTGGGCTTGTCCATTATACAATAGCCATGTCTCGCGCATCAAAGTTCACATTGGCAGCCACTGGCCTGGGCACAGCGGGTATTGTCTGGTTTGTCCACTGGGCACAAGAAGCGGATAGGGCGGTATGATACAGCTTCAATCTCCGAGGATAGCATGATACTGATTTTCCTTGACGGGTAGGCTATGCACAAAGGTGTCGAACGCGATATGGAAAAGCAACGTCTTCGACTAGAACGTCAAGCGGACTTCGAAATGCAAAAAGCCCTCGAGCAGGAGTATCTCAAACTCCAGACGGTGACCAGCACAACGGGCGATTCAAATACGCCCAACCAAAAAACAATTTCGGGGTCATGAGGTGGAACAAAGTCTGCGGCGCACGCGCTGCTTCGATCAGGGCCATTCGTCTTCGCGTTGGTCTTGATGTGCTCCAACTATACCAGTGGTCTGCAATTATCGACTATGTGCTGATGCATGTGAGCAAGGAGTTTATATTGTTTTTGGGCTATGCATGCCATGCTGTACAAAACTTTGATGTTGTGGTGTAAGATATACCCTCATACGTACTATATAACATGAAATCGTCTCTCTACTATGTTTGCTTTGTCCCCTAAATATTTTCTTGCGACCTTGATACTTAGGATACTTAGGACTTTAAGATATCATTGGGCTGGGAGGCAGAAAATAGCATCTCGAATGTTATATGGTGGGTGTATACAGTGAGGTCTTCTAGATCTGCTAGTCAGAGCACTGTCATTAAGCATCTCACCTTGACCATTACAAAACGGGAAAAAAAGAGACGAAGAAAGAGAGGTAAAAACAGCACCGAACAACAATGCACAAAACGGTATACTGCCCCGAGTTGGTGAATTACACATAAGACTGTCCCAATACTATATACATCTGTGATTCTTGCATATTATCCATCACTTCTTCCGCTCTTTAACTCCTACCTTCTGATAAACCCACGGACTATCCGCCTCCAATAGATCACACGCAATAAAATCAGCATTATCTTCAAGTGTCGTCCCATAGCCCAAAAGCTGGCTTAAGAGATTCAAATACCCTCCAATCACCGGTACACCAAGAAACTTGAGCGACCATTCAGGCGGCACACGAGCAGAAATCAACAAATTTTCCGCAGATGCAGTATCAGCAAGCGGATACGTGACCGGACTCAAGGGCTTCATTACTCCAGGGCAGAGGACAGACCAAGCAACGGTCTCACGAGGCACGGCCTGAACTTTCGACCATGTCAAGCTGTGTTCTGGGAAGAGGTGGATACTAATTGTTGTCTCGTTAGCCAGCTCTTATGGATCTCCGGTCCCGGCAGGTAACTACGGTGAGTCTGGAATACCACAACAACGGAGACATCACTTACTAGTCCACAAGCCTATACTTCTGAGTAGGAATGTCCAGAAGCCCCTGACCGGCAAGCAACCAAACCCTCAAAGGATGTCCACGCTCACGACCAATCTCCTGCGCAGCGCGGAGAACCGCTTCAACGATTCCAGGAAGATCACTTCGACCCCAAGGCGAGATCGACGCAAGCCCGGCTGAGTTTACAATAGCATCGCACTTGGTACGGATCGCGGCTTCTTTGATTTCGGCGCTCTTTGTTGCGTCCCCGCGCTCTATGCTGGAGAGTTGATCGTGAACGCCTGGTGCTAGTTTTGATGGATTTCGGACAAAGACAGAGACTGTGTGGCCTCTTTTTATGAGGGCTGATAGGATGCGGGAGCCGAGGCTACCTGTTGCTCCTAATAAGAGGACTCGCATATTGTTTGAATAGCTGGAGGGAAATTAACAGGTGGTTCCTAAAATATATGCTGGTGAGTGAATGTGAAATACGTGTGATAATATATAGGTGGTCGGAGCAAGTTTGTGCCGACGGATGGTTTCATGGCTGACGTGGAATAAGCGCCATCCCGTGTTCGGGGTAATCCTGTAGTCCAGTCGCTGTGGTGGTAGGCAGCTCGCTATTTCGGCCAACCCAATACTTATGTGCTAATACAGTCATAGGCCATACGTCTATTCACATCCCCACTTGTATATAAACAACTAACTTACGATTCAAAGTACTTGAATTTGGGCAAAGGAGAGGTGAAAAAAGAGAGGTCAAAGTACGGCGAAAACAATGCATGAAACGGTAGAGTCGCTTCGAGGCTTTCATGTAGCGACTGTTTTATGTGAAGGCTTGGTGATAGATGTTCAGTTGGTCATAGATCCTCTTGGATGTACATAATATTAATCGTGTCTGCATGATTCTACAAGAACATAAAAGTGGCCGTAGCCATCGCCGCGACCAAAGCCACAAGGCTTTTTGCACTGGCCGACTCCTTCAATAGTCCACTCGCAGCTCCAGTGTGATTTGCGGAGCCATTGACTGATGTTGGGGTAGCTCCCAACCCACCTGGTAGTCCCTGGTAGCTAAATGTCAGATTTTGGGGGATGGACTTGTTGTAACAGTCTCCATTCGCAAGATCCAAGTTGGTCAGGTCATCCGCATGCAAAAAGAACATGTAATTTGACTGGTTGAGGTCCTTGAACCCAGAAGTGTCATATGGGAATCTATCGCCCGAATCGGTTCCGGAGGTGTTGCGGAGTAATATGCACTGGACCTGTCCAGGGAATTCGGTTGCCAATTTAGGGTAGTCGCGCATGACATCGCTGTTGCTGGTGTCTGCCACCAGGATAAACTTGCGTTCAGGGAATGTTTCGAAGACCTTTTGCAATAAGAACTTGCGGATCGAGAGGGTGGCGGAGACGTCGCTGAAGTTAAGAGGGCGTGTGTCGAAGGAGCCGCCGGGGTAGTTGGTGTAAATGAACTCCATGTAGTTCCTCGTGATTTGCTCGGGAGTGGTAGTCTGAGGCGATTGTTAGTCTTGAGAACAAAAGCGGGTGCAAAAGGGACTTACAAGATAGTGGAAATGCAGGTCTGGTAGGCTGGTAGACCAGTTGCGGTAAATGTCAGGCATGTTCTCCCAAGCTGTGAATGGATGAGCGAAAGAATTGATCAATCCTTGCTCCGGCTCGTAGATCTTGGTGACACGCAGAATATCGTCAATGTCGGAGACAATGGTAATTCCAGTAGGGGGTACAAGATATGCAGTGCTATTTCCAATGGTTGCGTTCTTGACATGAACGTCAAGTCTCTGGATTGCCGAGGTCTCATTTCCTGCGGTGAGGCCCTTACTAGCGATTGGCACAAAGGTGTCGAAGTCACCTTCGACGGTTGTGTTGTAGGGCAAAGTAACATCCTGGGTGCCACCAGTCGTGTTAGATGACCCACCGCCACCTGGCTGTCCGCTTGATCCCTGGCCAGCTGCAGGCTGAAGGTGGATCGTGTTCACAGCAACTTCTGGCTGCTGAACAACAAAGATCTCAGCTGTCAGGTTACGTGCCTGATCCGCCTGGGACTTTGGAAGGTCCGAGATACTCGTGTTGACCAGGAAGGCATCGGCAAGCTTGTTCAAGGTTGAGACAGACGTGTTTGGCTGTTTGTAGACATTTCCATGGAACCGAACGTTCCAGCCCGAATTGGTCCAATTGGCGTAAGGATCTATGTTCAACACATTGGTTGGTAGTGCTGCTAAATCGTCGTCGTTCAAACCGAGGGAGCTCGCAACTGCGTCTCCAGTGGGGAAACCCTGGAAGAAATTGGGTACTCCCGACGCGACCCATGAGGGTAGGCCGGACCCAAGCCCCGAAAGCACATTATCGACATCAGATTCTACGTCGCTCAAGATGTTTCGGGCAACGACCGGGGAAGGATTATGCTGGACCGGGGAAGCTGTAATGACGGGATCGGCTGGGGCAGCATTGGCGAAAGCAGTTGGAGCGGGAGAAGCAGAGGCAAGCGAGAGAAGAGAAGCCTGTACAAAGGCACGCGAAATGGTGGACCTCATCTTCTCAAGTGTTTACAACTCTTAGCTTAAAAAAAGAAAGGAGAAATTTTCCCAATTTAACCAAAATTCACAATAAACAGAACCGACGTCATCGGAAGATTTTCCAAGTTTCTCGCAAATTAAGGGTCTTTGAATCTCTTACACCTACATCATTCATGAATACTTCTAGAGGTTGTAGCTTTCTAATTTTATACTTTATTAATCTCTTCAGTAAATCTCCTTTGAACATATAAAATGTGAAAAGAGAAAAAAAAAAAAAAGGTACAATATCATTGATATGGAAATACTATGTTGGGCTAGTAATGAAAATCAAAGCTAGGCACCAGCCCTATATGATAACCATCCCCCACATTTCTTCTGATCCAGCGAGTCTAATTCACTAGGGTCTCTTTCGGCGTCTCCTTCACTCACAGTTTCCTCTTTTTCTGGTGTCTATATCTGAAACTTTTTGCACCTTGTGGGAATTTAAGGATTTCTTTCTGGTTGGGGACAAACTCTGCACAAGCTTGTTTTTGCTCGCGTGCACTAAGCCTCCCATAGGTTATGGGTTCTAAGTCCTGCTTCGAGACTCCTCAGGGTCTTATTTACCGGAAATATCCAGCACTAGGGCTCTCGCACAGCATATCTGCATCCTTTACCAATAATAAACGAAGATACTCTTACGAGTCATGACATGCATTTTGGAGGATCACTGTAGAAATATCACGGTAGAGATATCAGTTGTCAATTTTGGTTTCCGCATGGCCGTGTCCATGTAGCAGTATAATTTAATCAACCACGGTATTATCTATTATCGCATACCCAAAATCTAGCTATTAAAAGACAAACCTTATACATCCCACATTCTTAATACCGAGTTTATCAAGTGAGTATCAAGAGACCCATGCTACGTCCATAGTCAATCGCATCGGGATCTACGCCATCACAGCGTTTGATAATCACACCGTCGAGCTTCGCCATAGCAGAATCATCATTCTTGGAATCTGCCAACATGCGAATCGTACAGCCAGTGATCTTTGTCTCGGACAGTTCAAGGATTTTCAGATCTGGAAGTGCTGTGCAGATATGCTTGACATTGGTGTCATCGATACCCGCTATGCCGGCGATACCAAGATTGGTTATTTTGCTCAATGCTGGATTTATTTGCATGGGATCGTCGATAAAATTTTCGATGAGATCGTCGGCACTGATGTTGTGACAGTAGTTGATGTGAAGGGTTGTAATGGGTGCTTTGGAGGCCCATAGGAATAACGTTAAATTACCTAGGGTGACCCATGGCGTATCGTCGAATATCAGAGTCGTCAAGTTGGGAAGTTCGTTCTCAGCGTCGTTCATTCTATTTAAGCTTGGAGGGAAATTGTCGACTGAACCCGCATAGCACCGCAGGCTTTCGAGCGAGTTAGGAAGCGTGGCATAAAAGTCGGGTTGAACTTGAGCGCCGTGAAGTTC